CTCGCGACTGAAAGCCAACACACCTTTAAAATTTCAAGCAATGCTTCGATCTGTACCGTTGAAGAATATAATGGCAAAATCGACGTCTTCGGCGGGATGGCAGCCATGGGTAGATCGAACGTATAAAGCATTCCGTAACCATGTTAAGTATTCGCGAAAATATAGTCGATCGAAGCCCAAATTCCTCGCAAATCACTGGTGGCAAATTCGATCTCATGAAAGCTTGGAAAAAAGGCATTCCGACGATAAAAATTATCTTGTAAGGCCACCGAATGGCTGTCTGTATCTCAAAAAGATCCTTTTGAAGGCTCGCGAAAGTTTCAGAGTACTGAAGCGACGCGCATTCTTCATCCCACCACAAGCTGAACGCAGCCCTACTGCTCGGCCACATCTCGTGTCTCATGTTCAAAGCAGTTCCTAACATTGCAAATCTCTGGTATACATAGTCAGAAAGCTCCGTAGATAGTTTGCCAAAGGCCTTCTCGTATATTCGAATCATCCCCCAGTATATTGTCCCAGCCACCCATTTTTGTAAGGTCGGGTCTGTAGCGCTATATGACTGCTCCGCTTCACCCCCTTTAACCATGCTATGAACATGGCCTACCCGTTTAGATATCTCGGTAATTTCTTCTTCTGTACCAAGGAGAACGATATAAGCGAATTCTAGCGTTGAGATGGCGCGTTTTTCAGCATTTTTTTGGAAAGTGCTATGACCAGCTACTGCCGTGGCTATTTGCGGGTGAGCAATCTGCATCATTAAAGCTAAGCCGCCACCTATGATGCAAATACTCTCACTAACGATCAATTCATATTGAGCTTCTAGATCGCTCATGGCAAAAAGCAGAACATAGAGTACAAGAGCAATGCTGCACCTTGCTTGAAGAAATCTCGACGGTTCATTATGTATTGCAGTACGCATCTCTCTTCCAGGAAATGACGAAGACAAAATTTGGACAACGTGTTCGCTGCCAGATACGAACGTCTCTTGTTCATCAAATTGGCATCAGACTCGCAAATCTGGCCCTGATGCACACCCGGTACAGAGTGAGAGGCGGTACGGATGCCCGGCTTATTAAAGCACGTATCCTTGCAGGGTTTGGGCTTAAAATAGTCTGCGCTCCATCACCATGAATATCTGTCTGTTGTTATTGAGGAGAATTTGTGCCCATATAGGAGTAAATGTCAGTAGTTTGATCCACCACCAATTCTGTTGTGAATACGGCAGGACTGAGCAGACTCAGGACGAGAGAGAGGATGGGACATGGGAGGATAGGAGACATGCGTGCCACGCCTACCACGTGAGCCACGCACACAACACGCACCATCTCAAAACCCAGGATGAACTGTAGTCTCTTCTCTTTTCTTTTTCTTCTCTTCAGCCTTTGAGATTCTTGATACCACGCAGCCAAGTTGAATGAAAGTTTCTGAGTCCTTCTAAAGCTTTTCTATTCTCGCGTACAACAAATTCCACCTTCCATTCCGCCTCTCATTCCGCCTCCCATTCCGCCTCCCATTCCGCCTCCCATGCCACCTCCAACTCTACTGCTAACCTTATTCTACTACTAATTTTACATCCTACCCCAGACTTAAGTGCAGAATTAAGCACGAACTCAAGTACGAACTGGTGAATTTCAACTTCAGAGGCGGGGATGATTCAACTTCGGTTCAACTGCGGTTCAACTTATCAGTTCAATCAATTACTATGACATTACGGGCTACTCAGATCAATAGGTGCGTCATATTTGGGGGTCTGGGTCGCGGGCTGATGGGGTGGTCATAAACCGGATAAACTGGAATGTTACCGGTTTCTTTCAATTTTTTGAAAACTGAATACCTCGCGGGCTAATGTCGCGGAGTAATGAGATCGATCGGACTCGAAGGGGACTGAATACTACTAATATCGGCTTACACTATTGGGTTGATTCAGTATTTTCACACTATGAGCTCCCCCCATCAACTTAATACAGAACTAATATCAGGTAGTCATGGCTTTTCTCTAATGAACAGAATTTAATTGAGTTAAATCGTGTTACGGCGTGGCCGAACAATATTGCGATACCATACTATATATACCGGACTCTGGGCAGTATCCGCAACTGCGGATATTAGTGATCTTTTATGGTCTTGTTGGTTAGTGTCCGCCCAGAACGCTTCCGTAACAAATCGAGTCTATACAAGCCTCCGCAGAGAATATATCATACTAAGCTTGTGATTAAAATTCATAATTAAGATAGAATAAAGTAGCTTTAATAGAAATTAATAAGATTTCTCAGTGCTACCCACCTTTACAAAAGTAGTTTATAGAGATCTTGTTTATTCTAGTATGTATTAGTGTTACGGAAAGCGTTCTGTGTAAGAAGAGAACTCAGTGCAGTCTCATTGAATATTGAGTGCTCGGGTGAGCTTGGTCGGGGACTTGGAAAGCTGGACCTGAGGACACCCAGGATGGGTCACGTGGTCCGTAGTGGCCGCAGCCAGCCGCAAATCAAGGACGTCACGACTGAACGAAGGACTCGCAGATTCCCCAAGGAAAAATTATCAGAGGAAGACAGTCCGTAGGGAATCAAGAGTCAGAGTTGTTATACACCCATACAGTACCTACGTCCATTCACTCTGTAACTCTGAAGAAAGCTTTTCCATCACGTATCTATATCTCTTCACTACCGTCTCCTCCCATAATGCTGGCTGGTATGATAATGTTTCAATTATCTAGAAGCTCTGTCAATTATCTTGAAGCTCTGTGTTCTGGACCTTACCAACTGCTGTGCTCATTGCCGTTGTTCTGCTGGGGATACATTATTTTATTGTGAATAGAGTCTTTTAACCGATCTCAGCAAAGACGTAAGGGCAACGAAGTCATGTAGAACGACACCTGCAGTTTCAAAAGGCGTGATAGTACTTGTCACGAAGCGTTACAGCCGTCGGAAAGGGTGCTCTCATCGTGGAGCTTTTCATTTTATTTGAAAATCCTGTTTCTCTGTTGCTAGTGTCATATTCCGGGATTGATTGTCTTGTGATGCATTCATAAGCAGATGAATCCACTAATTACGTAGGAGAATGGATATCAACTACCTAATCGGGCATGTGTCTCTTTACCAACATTAAACCGCACGCCGGGTCATATTGTTTGAAAATGTAGAGGACAGATCAATCTTTAAGTGGAATGAGTAGAAGAACGCTCGAGATGGCACATCGCTGTCTCGTTTTGAGTGTGAATGCATCCGAACGCGAATGGTAGTAAGGATGGTTTCATCAATAATTCCACCGCGCACGGAATATATGGTGGGTCAACATATTCAAATACCTAGTTCACTTTGACCTTGTGATCAGATTGTATCGGCGCCTTTGAACTCTGCAAGACTTTCAACGCTGGTCCTACGTCGAAAATTCAGTGAAGACTGGCAGTTTTGTAAAGCACTATGGAGAACATCACAGTCGAGAACCTTGGGCAATGCTTTGAAAGCCCGACAACAACTCTTCAAGGTTCTACGACTAGCTATACGCTCTCATAAAAGACGGAGATGATGTAACGGTCTTCGAAGAGCTAGCATGGGTAAGGAATGAGGTATAATACTGGACTGATACGAAGAATTTGCAAATTCAATACTTCTATTGCTAATAATGTGTATTGTACAGATTCCGACCCTGTCACTTCGGTGAGAGGATAAATGTCGACCGGTATTGACAAAAAAATACGCTATTTTGGGTATCCACTTCTTCCTGGCTATGAAGAAACAGGAGACAGTGAGTTTTTGAGTTTTGACGATTTTAACTTAAATATAGTGAAATCGTCTTGTCATATGGATCTTACTACCTGGCTGGCCATAGAATCGAATACCTGAAGTTTTATCTATGAAAACAGTAATGAGGTACGTCATTATAGAGTTATTAAGAATAGATCGTGATGACAAACCAGCTATAGCACTGATTCAGAAATTTGTAGGTGCAAATTAACGTTAGCAGCTGTTGTGAACATGACAGGAGGACTGGACTACTGGACTGACTCAGGATGAGAGAAAGAACATGGGAGGACTTGGGTTGCGGGACTTGGATTTCTTCTGCAGAAGAAATCAGTATCGGAGGACAGGGACACGCCCACCACGTGTGCCACGCACACCACGCGCACCACCTCAAAACTTGGGATGTCACTGTAGCTTCTTCTTCTTCTTCTTCTTTATCTTCTCTCCAGCTCTTGAAATCCTTGAACACCGCGCAGACAGTTGAATAAGAGTTTATGAGTCCTTCTAGAGCTTTTCCTGACTGGCGTACATCAGCAGCAATGAAAGAGAGGTACGCGTCATTCAGTTCCATACATGTCAGACGAGTTTTGATCACAACTTGAATTGAAATATGAAATAACAACTATGTATATACGTTCTAGATAAGTACATACAATGTGAGTAGATTTTTAGTTTTTCAATCCACCTTTTACAGACTAATAGAATATAGTGACTCTGACCCATCTCATCAATTGATCAATGCCCATATATACTATTCTCACTATTGCACAAACTCGTTCGCTATTCTAGAGACAGGCTATATATAGAAATTTCTATTTTGGGTGAGATTTCAGCGCCAGAATGTTGCAGGACTGAACCGTGCATCCCTATGGCCTTTGAGAATTTGTATCAATTCCGATTTTCACTTCGGGGGCTACGCTTCTGCCTTGAGGAAAAGGCACCGATAGAGTGACCGCTTCCATACGAAAAAAAATTAGTCTTTAGACCCCATCGACAACGATAGCATATATTTGCCCAAGCGAAAGGTTGACACCGGGCGCGATGGTGATCCACGCTCTTCCGCTAGCTAGCCAAAATATTGTACTGATCGCTATATGCCGGATAGTTCACCGAGTGGATCATGAGAGACTCCAAGTAATCGCGACAGTCACCCCTACTGATTTTCTTCGCTTGTCTTCCTGCGACGAAGTAAATCAAGGCGGACTTGAAGGAATCATCGTTTGGGCAGCAAATGCCTGCGATAAAGTGTCATCCTTCATAATGGAATCCTTCACTAGTCGACTCGAGCCCGACGATAGTCAGAAATATTTCGTTGTTATTGCAGACGTCGAAGAGCAGATTGTCAGGACACTCAATCCAATCAAGTTGGCGGTATTTGAGGGCCGTGGTAAGGCGCGTTTACACAGAAACAAGTCTGCATGGAATAAACGTAGGCATCCTACGGTGTGCCAGTTTCCTCTCGCTCGTACTGACTGTATTCTCAATAGAGAGACTTTACGCCTGCTGTATACCTGGAAATTGTGCCTCTTGTGGTTCAATTGACCTTCCAAGGCCCACTTCTCCTCCCCTCCGTCGCTCTGAGCGTCTTCAGGCTCAAGCTTTGCTGCGTAGCCAATGAAAATTTGATCTCCGCGTAGAACGATTTCACGAATTGAAAAAATTAAGTAAAGCTACGGCCGCAAAACAAAGTTTCTTGTAGCTTATTCACGCCATTTGATTAGATCTCCGAAGTCCTTTATAGCTCTAACCTTGGTATCTACCACCATTACAATTTTCAATAACTATGTACTCTGCCTGAGCTATTACGAAAAGCAGGGGCTGCGGAAAGGAAGGAGCATTGTCATCTTGATACTTGAATACTCTTGACCTATAAATGTAAGGACAATCCCTAAAAGGAATAGCCCGAGGGAGAACTGGGTCGAATACATGGTACGTGAAGAGACGGTAATGATTAGATGGAGATGCGAGGTGGGACAGATATCTCAACGGTTACGGAGCAAGTCAATATAGGCATGGGTGAGTAACAAGTCTGACTCTTGATTCCCTACGGACTGTCTTCCTCCGATAATTTTTCCTTGGGGAATCTGCGAGTTCTTCGTTCAGTCGTGACGTCCTTGATTTGCGGCTGACTGCGGCCACTACGGACCACGTGACCCATCCTGGGTGTCCTCAGGTCCAGCTTTCCAAGTCCCCGACCGAGCTTACCCGAGCACTCAATTTTCAATGAGACTGCACTGATTTCTCTTCTTACAAACATGCTGTTTACAACAATCTTGAGGAAAGAAAGAAGAGACAGGGGTCGTTCGCGGTCCTTAAGAGTGTTGATCCCGTTTCGGATAGAAATGTTTGACTGCAGGATCCTACGAAAGGAAAAACCTGAAAGGTGAAAACACTCGACGTTGACTAGGAGAGGAGGAAGAAGGAAGCTAAGCTAGACTACTGAGGTTGGTGGTCCTAGGTGGTGAGAGGGTGTAGCCCATGTGTGTGCCAGGCAGTATGGCAGACCTCACCACAAACACCCCCCTGGACCGCCAAACTCTCAAAAATCGCCAAAATCCATGCTGTTGTGCCTTGTGTGCGTTCCTCCAAGGAAGTTAAAAACACCTTTTTGTTAGGAATTTTGAGAGATTACTTCGTATGGAGCTGTTGCATCCCTAGAAGATTGATAAATCTCTCGTGCTGTATTTTCGCAAGTGGCTTTGTAAGACCATCTGCCACCTGCTCTGCCGTAGGAATCTGTTTGAATTTGCAGACCCCTTTTACAACTTGATGCCTGATGTGGTGGAATTTCACATCAATGTGTTTGGTCCTTTGGTGAAACTCAGGATTCTCCGTGAGGCATATGGCACCTTGGTTATCCTCATAAATGAGCGTGGGAAGCTCGAGGAGAAAGTCGAATTGAAGCTCCCTCAGGAAAAGTTGGAGCCAGACCAGCTCTTGCGTAGCCAGAGATACAGCGATATATTCGCTTTCTGTTGATGATAGTGCAACGCAAGTTTGCTTCTTCGAGATCCATGAGACTGGCCCCCTCCAAGCTTGAACACAAAGTCGGAGGTTGACATGGTATTATCAGCATGGCGGCCTGCCAAATCTGCATCAACGTAGCCATAGAGAGGGTCCAAATTCCGTCTGTAACAGATTGAGAGACCCTTGGTGCCTTTGAGATAACAAAATACTCTCTTGAAAGCCGTAAAGTGCGGTTTAGAAGGATTGTGAGAGTAGCGTGCAAGTTTGGTGATAGCGTATTGAATATCAGGTCTGGATTTGACCATGAGCCATATCAAGAAACCAACTTTCTTGCGGCATTCCAATACTTCCTCTGCGGTTGCAGTTCCGTTATGTGGTTGTAAGACCTCTCGGTCAAAGAATGGTGTAGGCACGGGATGGCAATCTTGCAAGTTAAAATCCGCAAGGATCTTCTTAATGTAAGCTTGTTGGCTCAAGAAGATTGTATCGTCTTGCTGTATGATATCAATCGCTAAGAAACGCTTAGGGACCTCATTATCAGTAAGATCGAACGTTTTGAAAAGCATTTGCTTCAGCCATGCGATATCCTCATTAGAAGGAGATATGATCGGGCAGTCGTCAACATGAATAAGGACGTAGAGGCGCCTCGAAGGGGTCGGCGTTGCATTCGTAACAAGGTAGAAAACGCAGTAATCCGCTTCAGATCTCATGAATCCGAGTGCTGTAAATGCATTGTGCACCACGTTGTACCGATCCCTTGGGCTCTGCTTGAGGCCATACAAGGTTTTCATAAGCAGACCGCATTTCGAAGGACTATGCTGTTCGCGGATTCCTCCAGGAAGATCAATATAGATCTCATCGGTCAACTCAGCGTTCAGGAAAGCAGACACAAAATCAATCGAATGATATTACCATCCAAGAGCTGTAGTGATAGCTATAAACAACTGAAAGCTTGTTGCTTTGGCAGTTGATGCGTAGACATCAAGGTAATCGATTCCCTGCCGTTGTTTGAAACCTTTTGCAACAAGGCGAGCTTTGTAAGTGCTATCATGTTTGAACTTGAATACCCATCGAATCGTAATAGGCCTTTTGTTCTTGGGGCGCTTCACAACTTTCCAGGTGCCGTTTTTCAAATGCTTCTCAAGCTCCTTGTCCACTGCAATTTGCCATTTTTCCTTGACAGGACATGCCATGGCTTCTTTGTAAGATGCCGGTTCAGTTGTATTCTTTGCGATAGATTCAACTGCACTGATAAGCGGTGAGGAGTCATGTTTCAATGTAGCAAGGAAGGCGCTCACATCGAGTCTTGAGGACGCAGATGGTAAATCCGCATTAGATCCCTCTACCCTTTTTTGGCAGTAAAGAGCGTCCGCGCCGTCGTCTGCAGTTTGAGCAGCGGCTGCGAAACCTGCAAGATATTGCTGAGATTCAAGCGCAGCTCGAGACGCCTTCTTGATGCGTTTTGATCGTCTCGTTGGAGGAGAAGACTCCTCCAGAACTTGACGGTTGACGTCGATGATGCAGCCATCCTCACCCGCCTCAATATCCTCTTCGGGTCTGAGAAGGCCTCACTGGAGCCTGGAAAGGCTTCGGACGGGCCTGAAGAATTCTCATCTTGCCCAAGCGCAAGGATCGCTTCTCGCTGGCGTTTCCTTGCAATCGAGGTTAATTGAGGAAGCTTCGCTCGTTCTGACGGCGGCAGATCACTCTGAGTGATAAACGGAGTTGGAATGATAGGCTGAGGACGCGTATGCTGAGTAGGTTGTGTATCCTGTTGAATAGAAATCTCTGTATCCAAAAAATCCGTAGGCACGTAGCGCCTGTGATCAATAGGTGTAGCACCAGGCTGCTGAGAAGGAGCATCGAGGTCGTAGACCGGCTTGGGTAGTTCGTCAAGCGAAATCTCGTTGAAAACCATATTCCTTGATACAACGATCTTGCGAGAGTGAATATCATACAAGCGATAACCACCAACTTGAGAGTAGCCAACCAGGCGAGATTCCGCCATTTGAGGCGATAGCTTTGAATGGCGAAGCTCCTTTGGAATAAAATACCAAGCTTGACAGCCTAGAGCACGCAGACCAGATACATTAGGTCGCTTCCCATAGAACATTTCATAGGGAGTCATGCCAATCTTTGAATGCCAGAGTCGATTCATGGTGAAGTTGACTCCAAGGAGTAGCTCACCCCAGAGATGTTTCGGCAACTGATTTTCAGTCAGGATAGCCACCAACGGCTCAATAAGCTAACGATTCTTTACCTCTGCAAGACCATTCTGCTGTTTAGTGTATGGTGGCACTGGATCCTAAGTGATGCCGGAGATCTTATAATGATCTGCAATACTAACGTGTTCGCCAGCATTATCACCCACAATAGATTTGACCGTGTAATTGAATTGAGTCTTAAGGTAGGTGATAGTCTCTTTGACTCGATCAACGATCTTATCCTTCGATTTGAGCAGGAAGACCTAACAGAAGCGAGAAGCATCATCAGTGACGGTCACAAAATAACGATAACCACCGAGAGCTGCATAGGAGATTGGACCCCAAATATCGATGTGTAATCGATCGCCAGGTCGAGTCTTGATAGGATTATCCTTGTTGTATGGAGTGCATGGCCTTTTCCTTGGATACAAGGCGGGCAGGGACGTTTGATTCTAGTCCCTTGATGAAGCTGATACCATCTGAAACTGATGGTATTTTAGCCACTTTTTGTTCACCTGTATTACAAGCACGGCGATGCGCGAGATCCATATAGATAGGTTTCGGTTCTTTGGTGACTGCATCTGCGTGAACGTAAGAGAGCGTGGTTTTAGAGGATGCAGCGGATGCGGCATAAAGTTTTGAAAGCTGCTCCTCGCTATCGCAGGCTGTGAGCCAATATTGGCCACGTTGGCGTTCTGCGAATGCAATAATCGCATCATCCTTATTGCGCAAAGAGCCACAAGATTTGCCAGAAGTTGAGAAAACATCGTTATCATCTGCAGGCTTGGCTGTAGAGATCAAGTTATGCGCGAAGGATGGGATATACCACACCTTTCTAAGCAAAATCTTGGTTACCTTGAACGTTTCAGAGTTGCGAAGCTTGAGGCTGATATCGCCGTATCCCTCCGTCACAACATCGCGACCATCTGGCAATGAGACGCGAATGCGGCATGTTGAATACGTGACGAAGGCAGCTTTGAACGGTGTCATATGATCACTTGCGCCGGAGTCAAGCATCCAAACATGTTGGTAATCATCAGCGTCAACGCTCGCTACTGAGAGCTGAGGAGTTACGTATGCAGACGCCGCGCTTGTGAAAAATTGGTCGGCGTTAAAGGATACAGCCGATGCAGCTGGTAATTCCTGATTTGTCCTTAGACGATGAGGAGGAGGTTGTGGCAGCTGCGGCACCACCAGACTTGTTCTGGTCCTTGGGTCCCTTGTAATTCTTGCCCTTAGGATTCTGAAAGCAATCTTGAGTGCCATGTTTGCCGTTAGTTTTGTGGAAGTGACACCATTTCAGATTTGGATCCGAGCTTGAATCTTTCGAGTCCTTGTTACCATCCTTTTTGCCGTTTTTCTTAGACTTCTCATTTGACTTGATATTCGTAGCCATAGCTGAATAGTGGCGTCTTGATGACTCGAAGGAAAGGAATTCTGCAAACGTATCTTGCATCAAGCGAGGACTCTCTATGTCCGGTTTGTGGCGTGTAACTAGTGGCTCAGTAGATGGGTGTGCGCGAATAGCTTCAATAAACTGGCCGTACTGAATCGCCTGTGGAATAGGTGTCTTGATTGCTTCCTGTAGCTCTTGGAAGGTCTTCTGCCACTTCGTGACGAAGGTACTGGAGTTACCCCCCTGACGGAAGTGACAAGTCGCCCATTCGCTGTATTTCTGTTGGAGGGATTGGACGCTCACTTGACCGAAAGTTGAGCAAAGAGCTTTGAAGGCCTGTGGCGAAGATTTGTATTGTCGAATAAATATTTTGATGGAATCGTCAAGAGACGCAGATAGGAAGTGCAGACATGCTGAATCAGTCTTTCGATAGACTGTTAATTCCTCATTCTTTTCGAGGATGTCGGTCTGCATTCAAACCCGAACTTCCGCATCGGTGATGTTTTGAGGATCAACACCTTGTTTATCAGCCAAGATATTGCGTACTTCGGACTGACGAGGGAGGTCTAGAGGAGTATCAATAGGCGGATGGTAGAAACCGGTGATAACGGGCCAATAATCGAGATCCTTGTAATTAAGGAATCTCTCGAACTCCGTCATCCAGATATCGAAGTTAAAATCGCCCTTTAGTCTAGGGACACAATCCTGAATCTTCTCCATCTTAATTGTATGTGTTGTGTGTGAAAAGCTTCAACCTTTAACGAGGTTTTCGAAGCTATCGAAGCAGCTCGGAGCTGCAGAGGGGGTTGGCCCAGAGCCTAAGAATCGGCGCGGAGCCGTGAAAAATCAGCGCGGAGCTGTGCGAGTCGAGTAAGGTCGACGAAGAGTTTTTGATAGTGTTGCTGGTGTCGCGAGGTGAGTTTTAAGCCGCAGCGCTTGCAGGACAGCAAGGTTGGTGTGAATAACCTCACTGGCACGCTAGACGGGGCTCATAACCTATTTGACTGTAGGATCCTGCAGTCAAATAAGAATCCTCTAGAACCTCGTGATAGAATCGCTCAGAATCCTTCTGCCAAGACGATATCCGAAGGCCATGGCACATGGTTTACCACCGGGCTCTGGCCCGTCACAGTAGATGCCATAACTTCCTACTCCAATATCTCAACAACCATCAATTTTTTTGAATCGAATAATAGGATATAGACTTTTCTTGACTTGTGAAAATGATATACCTCAATTTGAAGGAATTTAGATGGTGATTTTGATGCTTTACCATAAAATACGACGTAATATTTACATCAGTGTTAAGGAGTCTGTAATCAAAAACTGAATCTTGGAGTCCGGGTAGACTCCACTAGTTCCCACAATATATACATAGAGGTTCCGCGTACCCAGTCCCTATGGCCCCACACGGAGCCCTTGGGGTTGTTACCCTAAGGTAAGGCGGGGTCGATCCAACAGTGAATCGCCTTGAGTCATCACGTATGACTTGCGCCGTGACAATCAGGGACAGAATATATATTTTTTCGTTAATACTGTTATTGGTTTCTGATACTGCGGCAGCAGATTAGAGACACTACTTGGATTAAGGTCCCAATTTATCTTATTTCAAATAGATGTAGTTGTTGCGATATGAGGTGGTAATGTATCGCATTTACTATGTGTTTTTGGGTGGCCCGCTCAGCGGGGTGACCCGGTCATCCGGGAACTACGTTATAGTTTTCCTAAAAATCTTCGCGAGATCTAGGTCATGTGGTATTCGTTTTACCTAGCGTGAATGATGAGATACGGCTACGGTAGGGGCAGCAGTATCGACGTGTGAGAGGGATGAGGAGTGAGATTGCTGAGGGGGGGGAGATTCTACCTAAGCTATGGACTGTAGTGAGTGGCAGAATCACATGCCATGCAAACAGTAAAGCTCGCGGTTTCTCGTATAGCTCGCGAGTTAATATTTAGAGATTAAAGCCCGCGCTCGTGAAATTTCGACCGGCGGGCGGGGCGGGCTAGCCCGCCTATAAACTGCGAGCTCTAGCAAGGTCAATGTATATACCGCTGTGTTACGGAAGCGTTCTGGGCGGACACTAACCAAGACCATCGAAGATCACTAATATCCGCGGTTGCGGATTATTTGACTGAGGATCTTACGAAGGAAAACCCTAGAAGGTGAAAACACTCGACCTTGCCAAAGCCCGCGAGTTAGCCCGCTCCGCCCGCCAGTCGAAATTTCACGAGCGCGGGCTTTAATCTCTCAAGTCTTAACATTAGCTCGGAGCCCCGCGAGCTCTAAGCTCGCGGATCATTTGATGTTCGCTCGCTCCTGAAACTCCTGCACCATTTTCGTAGTGAGATGCGTGAAAATAGATATTACGTTCGTGTAAGAGATCTGTTCCTTGGGAAACACGTCCGAATTTTCACTTTTATCTAGTCACGTGCTGCTCTTCTTTCTAAGTCCAAGAGAAACTTTCGGTTTAATTATCTGGACCTGGGTCCTACCGCAACTGTGTCGCATCGTACCTGTGACGGGCCAGAGCCCGGTGGTAAACCATGTGCCATGGCCTTCGGATATCGTCTTGGCAGAAGGATTCTGAGCGATTCTATCCGAAATGGGATCGACACTCTTAAGGACCGCGACCGACCCCAGTCTCTTCTTCTTTCTTTCCTCAAGATTGTTACACACAGCATGTTGGCCTAGTACAATTGAATCATTTCTGCTACAGCCCTTCACAGTAACTGCTCACAATGAAGGTAGTTTGAAAGACAACGCCAGCAAGGTGGGCTGGTCACTGGAAATTAGTGTTGCGAACATGGTGGGACCAGACAATCTCAGGATGAGAGGAAGGACAGGACATGGGAGGACAGGACGTGACAACGCCTGCCACGTGTGCCACGCGCACCACGCGCACCACCTCAAAACTTAGGATGTTACTGTAGCTTCTTCTTTTTCTTTCTCCTCTCCAGCTTTTGAGATCCTTGATACCACGCCGACAAGTTTTGATAGAAAGTTTATGAGTCCTTCTGCAGCTTTTCCTAACTGGCGTACAACAATTAGCATACGACTCAAGTAACGTTATGTACCTCAAGCGCTGCTCTACTTTCTCCGCTTGAGAAATGACAAATTGCGCTGTTCTAGCCATGTTTTCTATGTATGAGGAAACTTCCAAATCTGAATGAATTATGCCGCGAAAAAGCGGGCTCGACCGTCATAATTCTGATGTCTTTTTACTTTGCTGCTATGGGAATAGCCGAGTCTCTTAACCAAACAGCCAAAAGACTAGTTAGAATATACCAGGCTGCGGGTGGCTACGGCTTCGCATGGCTATCAAGTCCGCAGTCCGCCTACCAAGTGCACGAGTGATTTTGCAATATCATTAGATCATATAGGATTTAATCTCATTTCCCGACGCTTGTCCACGATCGTGAATTACTGGATACTTCAACTTCTTTACCCACAACTCTCACCGAATGACCGGCTGATCGTAGGTGCAGGGAATACTTAGAAAATAATGGATTGGGCGGTAGTTATTCGGGTGACGTACGGAGGTATCAATGGCACACAATCAGAGTAGTTTGTATCAGCATCGTTGGTAGTGAACCTTTCGCGACAAACTCGCTGATTGGGCGTGGGTTTTATTAAGTGAAATGACACTCAGTAATGTCAATCTAGCATCGTGATGACCAAAGTTGTGAGTTGTGACCAATGCTGAGTCAAGCGTGACTTTATATAGAGATACATCTTCCCCGCTCACGGCCTTTTTGACGGATTCACCCTCGTTTGCGTATATCAAGCCCAGAATGCGCACGATATTCCAGGTTTATACGCAACTTGCGTGCATACTCTCCCTTGTCAATGAAATTCATGCGCAAACTTGGAAGACACAAGTGAATACAACCATGTGTAATTGGAATCAGTATCGCGGTGTGATACGAAATCCGTTTCTTGATGATCAATTGTGAGAAAGGCTAAGTGTTCCAAGCAATACAATTTCAGCAGAGTATCGTGTTCAACGGTGGCTCGCTTTGGTGGCAGAAGTAGGTACCTCATTCGTTTTTTGAGCACTACTAATTCTTCCCAGCGGATACTCGGACGGTTCGCTCGGTATTCCTGAAAATAATGGTAGGCGTTTCTGGAGGGCTCTGTCAGATATGTCTAATGAAGCCACTAGAAAACAAGAACAGCCCGTTTTTGAGCTTCCCTCTGAGCACGCCATTCGATACCCAAACAACGAATGTGACTGCACTATTCTCGGCAAAGCCGAGGTCACGAATCCAATATCAAAACTTTCGAAGCGGTGCCATGTTTGGCAGTGATGAAGAAATACTTCTTTACGGGTTAGTCTATTATTATCACTGTAATTACGGCATATATTAACTCTGTAGCTCTGGACGATAGCGGCGTGACCAGGGAAACCGACACTAAGAGCTCCAATTCCGCCAATCTTCTTGGATATAGATCCGCGACTCATCCGTCAGAGCTGAATACGGGGTACTTCTTCAATTCCACTCTGCCGAGTACCATTAGTGAATCTGTGACGAGCGGCAGCCAGGTCTCCGTGCCAAGTGAAAGCCTTGCATTTTACTTCGGTGGAATGAGAGGCAAAGACTGGGGTCAGATCTCCTCCGACGATGGCTCGGCAGATACAGCAGCTACGACTTTGATCATGGTCAACATGGGGATATCCGGTGACCAAAAGGTCTGGAAGAATTTTTCGTTGCCAACATCCGTCGTCAGCCGAGCTGATTCCCAGATGGTATGGATACCGGTTTCCGAGCGCGGAATTCTGGCCGTGATCGGAGGGGTCCTTAATCCGCAAAACATTTTCCCTACAGGCCTCTCTGTGTCTCAGGCGAAACAAAATGTTTGTAGACGCCCTTAGATTGATGCACATTTATTCCTAGCAGCAACATTATTTTGCTAATACGACTCAGAAGGAGCGCGACCCGGAGTTCATGCGACAAATTTCGATATACGATATCGCACGGGAAAAATGGTAGGTGTTCCTTTCTTTTTATCTACAAGATAGTCTCGTGCTGACATAGAGCTGGATGAAAGGTTTCTTCAAGGGACGACTGGAGATATTCCATCCAAGGCCTACGCTGCGTTTTGCGCGGTCGTTGCTTCGGCCTCAGATGGAAGCTCCCACAATATATACATCTACGGCGGTTACGACGGACAGGATGCATTGTCCACTCCTTACGATGATGTTTACATTCTTTCCTTACCATCCTTCGTGTGGACGAAGGCTTACACAGGCCGACCACAATACGGCCGGAGTGGCCATCAGTGCTTTCGCATATTACCCGACCGCATGCTGATAGTTGGTGGTCTCTACAAAGATCCGTCGCTCTGCCTTCAGGATGGTTTCGTACGAATCTTTGACTTGAACACTCTGGCTTTCAACTCGTCATATTCGCCGTACATTAACGAGGATTATCTCGTCCCTGATCCGATTATCCGCCAAATTGGAGGATCGTGAGTACTCAAGCAATAGATACAGATAATGGCTTTGTGTATTCACCACAACATAGAAACACGGGAAACGCAACGGCAAGCGCACCGATACTCAAGGCCGACCCAGAGCTAGTGTCAATATTGAACACCAAGTACACGAAACCGATACCGACGTGGTATCCGTATGCAGAAGGCATGGCCACATCGGTGCCGCTCTACTCACCCGCAAAATCGTGGGTGGTCCCTCTTGCCGTGGGGCTGATCGTCCCTAGTGCTGTTCTTATGATCGGTACGGTAGTTTGGTGCTGTCTGCGACAAACACGCCCTAGAGTGCGGTGTGTATTGCGCGGTAAAACAGGCGTTGTGGAGATTGACAGCACGCCAGTTGCCACCTCATTGAAAACGCAAATTCACAAAGTTCACGAGCTACCAGGTTCGCCTGCTAATGACACCTCCGGCTACCCGCTATCGATTACTAGCACACCTCCTGAAATGTATGCTCGGCTCCACAGCTGAGTCTGCGAGGCGTACTTTAGGAAGCCAGTGAGCCAACCTATTAGCTGGCACGTGGCGCCTCATAGGGAAAGGATCCAAAGCTTGATAGTAACTAATGACTATATGAGACTGGTTCAGATAAGACATGATCCAATTGGATTCGAAGACTACTGTATCGGCCCGGTCAGCTACAATACTGTCAAGTCTGGATGTTCGTATTCATCGAAAATTCTACGCAGCTCTCGGGAAAAACAAAGGGCTTCGCTACGCTATCATTCCATTCACTTTAAAATCAATAATGAGAATGACGATCTGAATTTCTGTAGCTGTATGGTTGTTCAAGCGTCTACTAGATCTGCATTGGTGCTGCAAGATCACGAAACGGACTCAGTACTACGGATAAGGCTATAATCATGATCGAAGCTCGAGTGCACAGGATATGGAGGATCTTCGCTGTCAATGCCCATGATATCTCACAGTAACCCGCTGTTCAGTTTAGTCGTAATGGGTCACTCAATAATCATCCTCCTTTTGGACCATGAATGGATGTAGGACGGTGAATGATGCCGAAGTTGTCTCTCCATGAACTAAGATAGGTCTACGACGCGAGGTGTAACTGTCGAGATCCTAATCATAATTGATCAATTAAATATCTATGTTTCATTACCCCGAAGCTTAGACTGTTCGTAGATTTAGACAAGTATTACTTACTTTGTATTCTATAAACAAGTGGTGACTACCTGACTACCGTATGTAGCCGTACCCTGAAAGAGTAAAAGGCCTCAATATTCACGCGTGAATTATCTGATTGTTCCAAAGGGAAGAAATACAAAATATTCTTCTGATTGCTAATAACCATTCACATTGACAGCCCATATGAGTATCCACCTGAACTTTCGGCAGTACAAACTGCACATGAAGCTTTCCGCTTTCCACTGTGGTTTCATAAATTGAACTGCTGGTTTTCGTACTCTCGACATCCCTCGGCTGGTCACTTGCTCGAAAGGATGCTCAGCAGCTTGATACATACAAACTGACTTCCATAGCGACGTGTCGCTCGATGTGCACTTGTGCCACTGGCAGTGCACCGACAGAGATAGGTATTTCGACACGGTTCGTTTTATTAAAGTCTACAATCGAGACTCCACTTCCATCTTCGACAACTGACAGAAGTTCTAAAGAAGCAGTCCCCGTTACATCCTGTAGGTAAACCAACTCACTATGAGTACAACTCTTTTAGGTTTAACCCGAAACGTAGTCTGGGTAGATTGGAGCCACTCAATATGTCCGACGCGTCTTAGGAACCCAATATTTACTGCGAATTCTCTACTACCGACTGATTTCACTTAGGGCTGCCCCCCGGGGATTATGTCAAACGGACAAGAAGATGCCAAGCAGACTATGCAACTTCGACGCTGGTCCACCGGCCAAGGGCTATTACTGCTCACCACGGGAATGTGCTCCATGTCCACTATCAATCAAGCATCAATCAAACCACAGTTTTGGAGACTGTTTATTCTAACAGCATATTTCAATCTGGAGCCTTTAGAATTCGGTATTGACTACGATATCTTTATTCCACAATCGAAGATACGTAGTTGAAAATAAGGATGTGTCGCTTCCAATTCCAGGGCGGTGCTATGACCGATGCAGCGATGCAATGCTGGTGGCTGATGCAATTGGCAAGAAATCCGACCTGTGTCGATCAGACTCGGCTTTCCTAGCTTTCGTCAGGGTATGCCAGGCTTGCGTTTTATCCATAAGCCTTCCACGTTAGGAACTTACCATCCTTCCTGAATTCCAACAGTTCTTATATTACTATAGAAGGCCCTCTGTGCAAGAGCCACTAACGCCGACTTTCTCCTCCAGACAAGGCTCAGAACGATTTTTAACAAAATATATGACCCTCGGGGGCACGGGCGGGAAGAAGTAATTATTGACCATTAAACATTCTTAACTTCGAGCGAGGCAGCTACTTATCGTTCTCTATCGGGCGAAAGACTCTTTCAAAGTTTTTCCGCCATTCACTATACAACAAACATCCCAGACACCGGCTCCTTGACACTAGCACTGCGCCATAGTGTACAAAGATCTAAAGTCATAGACCTTTTGAACCATCAGCACAGTCAATGAAAGGCTATCATTCACCAACAGCGTCCGAGACTAAGGTCAATGGAATTACCACGAATGTGGCGAGCTCTCCTGGCACATTTCAAGCTCTGTGGCTTAGGGTTGGTATCTGGAGCATTCATGGACTCTTCTTCATAATCGAGGCCCACGCATGACATGCTGCGGGTATTGAGTTTGGACTTCCAGTCGTAACGCACTATACATGTCATCGAGGCCGATGTGTAAATGACCTTGGCAAGGACAAACAGATCTCGGCAGAGCAAGTCAATTTAGATGCCCGCGACAAAGCGACGGATTGAATGAACGTCGAGTTCATCACAGTTCTATCCCATCCCGCCGAAACAGAAAAGATAGTCAATTACGGGCAATGGTAACGTATAGAATCACGACATGAGTGACCCTTTCTAGATGGATATTAAATTAAGAAGATTCAAAATATTCTATATGGCAGTTCGTTTAAAGTGCGTTTATCCTTCTCGTCGGCGTTACTAGGTTCAAAAAGGACTCCGTGCTTTTCAAGCTAATTTCTGAGCTTGACTGGGAAATCCAATTTTTGGGCCAAACCAAGTGGTCATCGTACTCTGAAGACACTGGAATGCTTCATTTATTGCCTGAGTCTGCTTGCATTGACCTTGCTTTTCTTTCCCGGTTCTTGTTAAATGGTACGACTCAACTCAAAACGCAGGTGTATTTTTCGGAAGGCGTCAAAGCCCATGGAACGGGAGAAGGAAAAAAATAGACGAAAGAGGGACAGCAAGGAACATTGACTTCATGACATGATAGCCTACTTAACCAAGCACGGTTGCAGAATGATAGACCCCCTAGAGCTTGGTTAGCATGAGTCTGGGATTGATTAAGTCGCCAGTCAACTTTGATTAATCTTCGAATCTCCAGTTCCCATGGTGAGTCTCCCGTCATGATCTGCGAAGTTTACAACTCCGAAAGCTAGAGATTTTAACATCCTAGATGTTTCTGCCTATGGTTTCTCAAACTTGCAACTCGGATTTATGTTGAGTCTTACTCATTACCAGTACTCGATTTATCTTCGTAGCCGGCCCGTGTTCTATTAATAACGATATTTCCTCATGAGTGTTTGGAAGTTTCTGAGAAACACGAGGATGTAATGATTTATGGTCATTATCTTTATTAAGAGTCACTTCTCCTAAGAGTTCTCTGAATTAAATGACTACGCCACTCTGATGGCATTCTCGAAGCCTCGAGCACTTTCTTAAGGACTGGGTCACTTAGAGATGGCTCTACAATGTGACGACAAACCCCTGATAACATACACTGACTGATAGGGAGGGGTTGAAGTTGGGTGGTGTTTCCAGAGCTGTCCGACAGCTGACTGCGAAGGCTTCAACGTCACTAATTGTCAACCTAAGGCCATAAGAGGTGATGCTGGTCCGCTGGAAAGTCTAGAGGAGGCCGGTAGGTGATTTGTGAAGACCCTCGAGGTCTCGTATGTGGCCGATTTCACGACAGCGTGTGCAGAAGCTGCGTCGCGGCTTGGGTCACGAATCAGACCATGGTTATCGTCAACCAGGGGACTAGACTCAGATATCCAGTGCTAAGCACCCAAGAGACAAAGTTAATATCATCCAAGCTGTCGACCGCTTGTTCTCCAATTCCGTCAAGCCATCGCTGGGCCAGTGGCGTCGACACTTCCATGTCTTTTATGCGGTCTTGGTCAGAACGCCTTGATATACAGCCATTGCACTGGGCGTCTTTTCCAAGCATTGCAATATTCTTCGCTCAGACTCGCATAGTCTTGGGCGAATGGTGAAATACAACCCCTCATTGACTGTCCGTGTCATTGTGTCATTGTAATGTCATCCGCACCTTACGCCTTCTTGGTTGAAAAGAATGACACGCTTTTGTATCGAAGGGTCAAGGGGTTCGGGTCACGGTTGAAAACGAAGAAGAGAACACTAGGCTCCAAGGAAGCCAGAGAGTAGAAGATGAAAGAAGCTTGGCTATTCAGTCTATGACTAGTTCGGAAAGGTAGTATCTAACTCACCAATGGATTTCTCGGCGTACTGGATATATTCGATACCAAGTAATCATATATTACCGTAAGTCTCTGTGAATTCCTTAGCTGGTTGGATTCCAACCTCACGTACGTCCGCCCACCTTACCTTCCATGCCAGGTATTGACAGTATTGACACTGGCATTGACACGTGGGGTTTCATCTTTGCGCACACCCCATTTTTTTGACCGCCAGTGTAATACAAGTATAATAGCCATTAGAGACAGCTTCAGTCGCAATTTCCAGAATCACTTTTCACCAAATGGCGAGTTAAGGGGTGATTTCTGGACGCAGATCAAGTGTTATTTTCCACTTGAATATGTCATTGTACAGTGACCGTACATGAATATATAGCTTTGCACTTCAGGTTTCGTACCAGCATATATAGTGCATTATATGATGAGGGGTTGAAAGATCATCCCTCTATTTTAGACATAGAAGGCAATAATGGGCGGTACTGTACATTGAGATTCCAACATCGGTAAAGCTCATGAGGTATGACAGGGTGCGGGAAACTTCAGTCCGCAGTCTCTGCTAATTTTGAAACTGATAGAGCCATTTATGGACACGTAAGGTGGATTGTTTTTATTCCTCACACCGAGCCACCTGTAGCCAACAACAATTTCCTGCCTTGCAAAAAGCAAAAATGATGGTCTATGGATGGAGTTTCATATGAAGAAAAGCCATTGCCCCCATTACCTTTGAACATCAAGAAAGCTGGTAGATCCTCAATCCCCGAGGTCAAACTGAGTCAAAACCCAGCTTTCGCGTTCATAGATGACGAAGAAAAAAACAAACCATTACCTCTGGAGCCACCTAGCCTCAATGAACGCACCACTGGGACTTCCTCTCAGTCATCGCCTAGTTTTGTCTCGAGTAGGACCGAGCTATCCACGTCATGCTGGCGACAAGTCCCTATCCAGAGCAAAACAGATTATCACGACAGCAGAAGTTTCAAAGGAAGACCGTCCAGTACATTAGTGAGGACAAGAGTGTGCTTGGAAAGCAGATTACTGGCAACATTTTTCGGCTTTGATCACGAGCAAAGATTTGATCATGCTGCCCTTTCTAGTGGACGATTACTCCAGCGACTGAAAGATATCATCACAGGAGATTTCACGTGGCCTACCAAGTTTGACCGACCTCTAAATTGCTGTCTTCTACTTAGGAACTTTATAATCTGCTCTATTGACGAGTTTGATTTCGATAAATACAGGCGTGAGGTGCTTATCTTTCAGCAAGATAAGTATTCAGACCTCCTTGGAGTGAATCGAGGGTTTGGGCTATTGTGGGACTTTCTACACGCTTACGATAGCTTTACCACCCCACCTCATCGGTTTCAGTGGTTCCAGGTATGTTTAAAATGATCTGCAAGGTATTACGTGGGATCATGCCATAACCACTTTAACAGGATCGCGATCTCTCTGCGGTTGATGCAGAGCATATGCTTCAAATTTGGACAGCATTAACAAAATCGAGCGTTAAACTTCAGAAGATAGTTCTCTACGGTAGAATTCCATCTGCGACAAAAGAGGATTTATCGCATATTCTTGAACATCTAGACCTAGAATCACAGGAAACTGAGACTCGCGGAAATTCGTTCAAGAACATTAGTCAATTATTCCTTGAGTGGGAAAATGTGAAAGTGGAGGAATGAAGAAGAGCCGTCCCTCCAGAGTAACAAAACATTTAATCCAAGGAGACAGCCTCCAGGAAGCGATTTTTGAAAATTTGTTCCTCCGTACAGTTGATTCCGAAAACAAATTAACCCCCCAGGTTTTCTTTCCCAGCACGCCACTGATATTTAGCTAAGCTAATTTCGGCTACTTAGCTAGAACCCCTTCTCTGAGGCATGAGTTCACGACGCCGTATAACAGGCCGTAGAAGAATCTGGAACCTGGGCCATCCGGATGAGGAGACAAAGTGGGTTTCTGGGAGAGGGAACGCGTGTGTCTGGGAGTTATACGTTTTTGAAATCGCGGTATCCCGTATGCCGTTGCTCACATGGTAATACCATTATACCAAAAGGTCTATGCCAGACTATTCGTATCGATAAGTCTGCATGCAACCGTATATATAGTCAGTTGATCCCGCGCAATATACCACATACGCATCCTTTGGGATCATAATCAACTTTATGTTCATACCTCCAGCTTCCGTACTGCCATCCTATTCGTCTAGCACACGGGAGAGTAGAGTTCATCCCTTTCACATCCGCGGCACCATCACCACCGCCTGTAGCTGAGATACTATTAGCAAGCAAAGAGAGGGAATCAAATACAGATCATGTCATTTTCACAGAACGCTCCTCCATACTCGGTTTTGTCTAACTCCGTTCTACCTATATCATGGGGTAATTTTTGTGATTCAACGGTAGCTAAAAGCCAATTGTCGTTGGTGGCAAGGTTGCAATTGCTGTTTTAAACGTACGTCATTTCAGATATACATACTGTTACACTGTACGCCAAATTTCACTTGCAAAATTTAGGTCAGGCAAAGGCAGAGAGCTCACTTCACAATTTCTTCGTCCAACACTCGAAGATAAAAGTGTATATACCCCAAGTAATCTTGAAATGTCTGAATTGAACATGGACTAGTAAAGGTAACACAAGATAGGTAAGGTATTAAGCCACTGGGTACCGGTAGAGGTAATCACTTAGGTAAACTACAGACTCTCCTGACCTCGGTCGGCATCCGTGTTAGAGCGAGCGCAGTTACTAAATGCTCCTCTAGTATAGTGGGTCTGAGATTTGATGATGGACCGGCATGTCAACGGACAAGAAGTTTGACAGACTGACTCACTCTGAAGGTGGACAAGGGATTCTGGACTGGCCGCAAGAGGCATGTGGTCAGGAAGTTCTTAAAGATCCTTACATTACATTTTTAACACGCCGAGTATGTAACAGGACTCAAAAAACAATCCATGATTAGCAGATTAGAACTTCATATGGGAACGAAAGTAGAAATTTGTTTCAATTCGAACGGTCTATACAGCTTGTAAGTTTCGAGGCATATGCATCACAGATATTTCGATACTGAGCATTATCAGTTGGTTGTAAACAGCGGTTGGTTGGGGATTATCGATGAAATGGTAGCATGCACAACCCTGCGACCCTGAACGGTGAGAACTTTTACCGGTGATTACCGGTAGGAACCGATAATTCCGGCCGAAATAGGCATAGCTAATTGAAAATTTCCGATAAGGAGGTCGCGGGGGTAAGGTCCGTGCATCCCTGCGACCTCCGTGGTCAGCGAACCCGGATGGTATTGGCATCTCATGATTTCTACCGGTAATTCCCAAGTTTTGGCAGGAGGAGAAAACCTTGCGACCTTGTATGGATTTACCGGCTCCTATCAGTAGCTAGCGGGTAATATAGGGAAAACAGGTAATTCTCGTGACCGATACAAAACTTACCGAGACTGAGCTCAACTCCTAGCTTTTACCGGCTTTTACTATTTGCTACCAGTAGCGAGTCCCTACTATGTACCTACTACGTATCAGGCTGTCTCTTGGCCGCAGAGAACGGCTAATTCCTGGTCTTTTTAAGAAAGAACGTACGCTCTTTTTCTTTGGATAATTCTGGCGGCTCACCACCGAGGGACCCGCAAACCCACAACATTAGATAGTGGGCACTGGACAGTTTTAGCAAAAGTTTACAAGAAGTATACACATGCCTTATTTGTTATTTGGTAAGGCGTAAAACTTTAGCTAGAGCGGTCAACAAAAAGCCGGCCACATAGCCGTCCCCGCACTTCCGTTCTGCCACCGCCTGCCCGCTTCTTCTATCGCTGTTCCGCTTGTTCCATTCCTTCTCTTCTCCAAGCTTTTTGTAAACAGCATGTTGGCCTAGTCAGTACTGAATCAATTTGGCTTCAGCCCTCCACAAACTTACTTAATGGCCTTTCGCGGTTTCCCCTGCGCTCGGGGGTGAGCTTACCTAGAAATGCCTAACTTTAAGTAAGACCTAGTCCTAAATTATAATCTTTGATCTTTCATAGTCCTTAATGATATTCTATAATTTTTAAGTATAATGTGATTCCAGAGGCATACCGCAATGTAATGCGGGTGCGGGATCATCTGACTATATGGAATCCCGGTGCCGTTGCTCACATGGTATTACCATTAGGCCAATAGGTCTAAGCCGGACTATTCGATACGAATTGTATTTGACTGAAGGATCTTACGAAGTAAAACCCTGGAAGGTGAAAACACTCGACGTTGACTAAGAGAAGAGAAGAGGAGGAAGAAGGAAGCTAAGCTAGACTACTGAGGTTGGTGGTCCCAGCTGGTGAGGGCGTAGCCCAGGCAGTATAGCAGGCCTCACCATCAAACAAATTGTCTGCATGCTGTAAAGGGCTGTAGCAGAATTGATTCAATTGTACTAGGTCAACATGCTGTTTACAACAATCTTAAGGAAGGAAAGAAGAAAGGATAGGAGTCGGTCGCGGTCCTCAACAGCGTCGATCCTATCTCGGGTAGGACCCCGCTCAGACCCCTTCTACCAAGGCGGTATCCGGAAGGCCATAGCATATGGTCAACCACCGGGCTCTGGCCCGTCACACATGCAACGGTATATATAGTCAGTTGATCCCGCACCCCGCCGCCTTACGGCATGGCATGCCTCTGGGATCACAATTCTAAAGTAAACTAGTATTGATTTTTCTAGAATTCTATATAGGTAAAAATGGCTTTACTAGAATATACTAATGAATTTTAACTTAAGAGCTTTAACTAAAACTTAGGAAGAATAGTATATAATATGTTACGGCGTGGCCGAACAAGTTGCGATACCATACTATATATACCAGACTCTGGGCAGTTGTATAGTAAGAAGAGAAATCAGTGCAGTCTCATTGAATATTGAGTGCTCGGGTAAGCTCGGTCGGGGACTTGGAAAGCTGGACCTGAGGACACCCAGGATGGGTCACGTGGTCCGTAGTGGCCGCAGCCAGCCGCAAATCAAGGACGTCACAACTGAACGAAGGACTCGCAGATTCCCCAAGGGAAAATTCTCGGAGGAAGACAGTCCGTAGGGAATCAAGAGTCAGACTTGTTATTCACTCATGCCTATATTGACTTGCTCCGTAACCGTTGAGATATCTTTCCCATCTCGCACCTCCATCTAATCCTTACCGTCTCTTCATATAGCCTGTATCCGACCCAGTCCTCCCTCGGGCTATCCCTTTTGGGGATTGTCCTTACAGCGGTATCCGCAAC